CCCAGTGTTATTAGTATAATAGAAGCTAGCAAAATGTCCATCTGAAGCAAGTATTTGTTAATTTTTTAGGGGGGAGGCAAAATGTCTGCTCCCAAAAACAACATTAACCAATCAGCCCTGTGAATGGATAATATAGATTTAAGGGTTCCAAAAACCCAATGGCCTTTGTATTAAATACAGATAGATTAAAGGGTCCCAACAACCAATGGCCTTGTGTATTAAATACAGAATAAGACTTAAGGTTTCCAAAAACCAATGGCCCTTTGTCATTAAATACAGAATAGATATTAAGGGTCCCAAACAGCCACATTGGGCCTTGTGTATTTAAATTACAGAATAATAGATTTAAGGGTCCCAAAAACCAATGACCCTGTGTATTAAATACAGAATAGATTTAAGGGTCCCAAAAACCAATGGCCCTGTGTATTAAATACAGAATAGATTTAAGGGTCCCAAAAACCAATGGCCCTGTGTATTAAATACAGAATAGATTTAAGGGTCCCAAAAACCAATGGCCCTGTGTATTAAATACAGAATAGATTTAAGGGTCCCAAAAACCAATGGCCCTGTGTATTAAATACAGAATAGATTTAAGGGTCCCAAAAACCAATGGCCCTGTGTATTAAATACAGAATAGATTTAAGGGTCCCAAAAACCAATGGCCCTGTGTATTAAATACAGAATAGATTTAAGGGTCCCAAAAACCAATGGCCCTGTGTATTAAATACAGAATAGATTTAAGGGTCCCAAAAACCAATGGCCCTGTGTATTAAATACAGAATAGATTTAAGGGTCCCAAAAACCAATGGCCCTGTGTATTAAATACAGAATAGATTTAAGGGTCCCAAAAACCAATGGCCCTGTGTATTAAATACAGAATAGATTTAAGGGTCCCAAAAACCAATGGCCCTGTGTATTAAATACAGAATAGATTTAAGGATCCGAAAGAATAGATTGCTTGTTTCTATAGTTTGGATTTGGGAGTAACAAGAAAAATTAACAAAGTTTCTTGGTGGCCTATTTTCTAGCAGGTCTCTAGCATGCATCATAATGCACAGAACAACCCATTCCATCCAGTCTTTGTGCTTCCATTAAGTTTCTGATACTCTTTGCTTTTTAAGGGGACAATCTTTGTTTCATAAAAGTAGTACTTCTGTTATTATAGAGGGGGAAAAAATTGGATATAGACAACAGAATGTTAAAATTCCACACACATCAATGACACCACACACATATATAATCTACAATCCCAGACAAAAATGGTTGAGATTTTTCAAGGAAAGCTTTTATTTTCACTTTCCTTTAAAAAAATAACTTTCCCCCTCCCCCAATTCAATGTTGAACATATGATTTTGAGGGAGAAATGATAGAACTACAAATCCAACATTGCTTTGGAGGGAAAGGGGGGATTCGAATTTACAGGGGCAAGGTAAAGTAGAAAATTACAAAAATTGCATTTTGTCTCAACATTTTTGTCTGGGATTGTAGATTTTTTATAAAAGAAAGTTTTTGTCAGCCCAACCTTCAGACTTTCTTAGCTATTTTCTAATTTTAACACTAAAATATTCTTAACACTGTCTTAACATGAAATTGGAATATTTTAACGTTACTGAGCAGCAATGGAAAAAATGAAATGCTTGAAATATCAGCTATAAAATCAACTATCTAAGAAAACCCAAGGAAAATAATGGTATTGGTTATGCAAAGAAAACCCAACGAACAGAACTGAATCAACTATGTTATTTTAGCAATAAAAGATAATTTGACACATTCTATTTTGTCTGGTTCCATATAATATTTAACAGAATAATCATCAAAAGACAATGTTGGTTTTAATAGGTCTCAAAATTCGAGCCCTTAAAATTCTTTTCTTTATAAAGAGCTCAACATAACTTTCTTATAAAATTTCAGTTTCATTTATATTTAAATTCACTACATACAATCTTATGATTAACAATACCAACAAGTAACAAAACTACAAGGAAATAAAACACTATTACATAATATTAATACAATGATATGAAAAATTAATACAATATATGCTAACAAAGAGAAAATCATGATATGGAGGGAATTACTCAAAGGAGGAGCTCTCTCAATAGGTAAACTAATCAAGGAGAGAGCCCCCCCCTGTCCTGGTATAATTTCAAATAAATTTGGTTGAATTTGAACGATTGCAAGGAAAATACGTTGTTGCTTTTCAATTACAAATTGGAGTTCTTCAGTGCACCTTACTTTCTTATAAAAAGACGTTTGCTCCCTGTCAAAATATTTTCACCTCAAAATGGCTGTAGGGAACAATCCACTAATAATTCCTTTGTATACCTTAATAGATTGAAATCTAGCATTAACCTAACTTATTAGGCGAAAAATTAAACATAATTCACATGCTATTTTCTTTGGCTGTGTATACTACAGTGTTTATCATGGGTTCCGACAAAGGTTGAAAAATGGGGGGGGGCAAGGAAAAATTTAACAGCCATAACAAAAGATTTTGAAAAACTATTGTTTTGTGAAAAAGTGGGGGGCCAAGGCCCCCGCCCCCCTCAGCCCCCCTTCGTCGGAGGCCCTGTTTATGTAGCATTCTTCTTCTGTAGTACACTAGTAAAATTGAATTGAATTAATTGAATTGAATTCTTTGCAGATTTGAAGACAAGCCTAATTTAGAATGATGTAGCTGTTAACAATGGCAGGCTCACAGTACAGAACAAAGATAGTTGGTGGAAAACTGGTTCAAGTGCCGGACTTTGATTATGTCAAGGAATATAATCAAGGCTTTAATCCCTTTAGTCAACAAAGCTTTAGCAAATATCAGAAGAGTAGACATAATTATCATAAGTATGGGAGCAGTGATGGCCCCCGATTTGATAGGGGACTACTAGATACAGGCAAGTATTGAAAATTGTCATTCAGTTTGTTAATGCTATTCTGATAAAGCTACCCCCAACATTTTGTCCTTCAGCACATTTAAGGATTTTTCCGGGCAAAAGAAACAATTTTTGTACTCACCTTTTAACCTTTTTGCAACAATTGTTACGTGTGGACATTTCTGTAGTAGCTGAACTTTCAAAGCATGGCACTTTGAAACAGGAATGCATAAAAGCAGCATATAAGAGTATTTATCTTTGGACCACACCCTTAAAAGGTGAGACAGGCCCTTTTTGTCGTCAAAAAGCACGTTTTTAGGCCTCTAGAAAATGTTTGGCTTTACCCATGGAAATATAGATAAATGCTTGCTAAGCTAGTTTTCATTTGAGGGGCTGAGGAAAAAAAGTGTGGGTTTTTTTGCAATTTATTGTGTCTGGATTTTTTAAGGGAAAATTTGACAAGGATGGAAAGTGGAAATGGTGACCCATTTTCTTGTTTTTCCTTTACAATTTACTTCATATTCTTATTTAACACATCTCTTAGTTTTTTGAATTTTGCTTATGACGTAACTTGAGTAAAGCTTTGTTTTCAACCTGTTCGGATTCATAACCAGTTAAAATTGTTTTATATTCCAGAAAAGCAACTTTACATGCGCAATGGTGCCTTGCCAAACAAACTCACCACATCAAGTCTCGACTTGGACCAAAGACGAAGTAACCAACTTCAGGCAGAAAGAAACAAACGGCGAGCTCAAGAGCAACTCCAGTCCTCGTCTTTGGTGTTAGACCCAATAGAAAATGGTAAGCGATGTCAAACTGAAAAGGGTTCTACGAGGAGGGAAGGGGTGGTGCTAGGTGGAATATGTGGGGTAGACAGGGGATCAGGTAGCTGAGTAAGAAATTTCTAGATATCACGCTCTCTTAACTGCTTGAAACACCTTTTTTAAGGATATTGCATAGAAACTAGTGATGTAACAGATATAGTATAAGCGTCTGAGAATGACCGAAATCATCATCCTTAGAAGGCCTATTTATAGGTGTTTCTTCTTCGAGTAGAATACCGGCTAGTGCCAGGGTGTCCTTCAGTACTTCCACTTTTGATCCCCCGTCTCTATATTTTCCTGTCTAGCGCATCATCTTTCGCTAGTTCCTTCGTAGCCATTATCTTCTCAGACGATCTGTGCCGGTATTTTAGTGCTAACCCTTCAAAGTTTTGCCATCTGTATATCCCTTTGAGCCTCACTCCATCTCCTTTAAGCCGCAGTTGATTCTGATCTTATGACATGTCCGTACGTTTGTGCTCTTGCACAAAATGTTGCTAAAAACAATAGCAAAAGTAGAAACTGGCTAATTGCATCGCAGTCATGAAAATCATGACTCAGCTGACTTTGGCACTTAGGGTATACCCAATCCATTTTATCATGACTCAATGCCTTTAATTAAAGACCGCAGCAAAACATACCATAAAAAAACGATAAGCCACGATTTATAATCGAATAGATACGATATTACCAAAGAGAATGCAAAGTACAATTAATTTATTGAGTGTTCGAGTTATCGGAGTTTTGAGTTATGGGGATCTCGAATTATCGGGAGTTTATTGTATATCAATCTTAATTTCTATAGATAAAGATGAAAACAGCAGTGAAAACGAAAGAGACAACAATGCATTGGCAGAGCAAGTTGCTGATTGCCTCAAAAGCACAAACAAGCAAAAGCTGGCTTACGCCTTGAGAGCCATGACACGGCTCGACTCCAACGGCAGTGGATATATCACAGTGAGAGAGTTTAGGGATGTGTTGCTGATGTATCAGATATTCATAATTGGCGGAACGCTGGAGAAGCTCGTTGAGAAATACAGGAACAATAATGGAAAAATTAACTATAAGCATCTTTGGGATTTTGTCACAGGTAAGATCAGTGACATCAGGGACCGTGGAAGCGGGGGGCAGGTCACAAAACTTCGTCCAACAATGTTGGTACAAAAATGTTGGGTAATGTTTTGTGGATGTTCTTTTCGTTTCGCCAGCCCTTTTGTCTAAACTGAATTTATCTAATTGTATTCAATAGATTCCTACAATGCTACATCCATGAACCCATCAACAAAAGATTCAACCGAGAATGAAACTGAAGAGGCGAAACTTTTCAATGCTGCAGTCAAGCGTGTTCAGAAGTATTTCAGAAATTACTCACAGAAGCACAGTCAAGCATTTGATTTCGAGGAAATAACCAACTCTCTGGAAAACTGCGACAGAAGCCGCTCACACCTTATGAGAATAAAGGAGGTCAGCCATTCTATATATATATAGCTCTCCTACAAGCATCCGTTATTGGGCCATTTCTACTTGGCAAGACTTCTTCTAGCATTCCTTAGGTTCTTTATATTGATTTAAAATGGCTTTGAAAAAAAGCAAACATCTGAGTAAGCTAAAGCTTTTTGTCTCACACTCTGAGTTTAAAACGTCAGAACATAGATCGAAAACTCTACGCTAGCAAATATATATACCCAGTTGTGGATCGAAAAAGGCTAATCAGAAACACGAGCACGTGGCTGTTGAGGTTGATCTATTGAAAATGTTACCATTGGAGTCCTAAGGTGAAAACGAACTCCTTCTGTCTACACCATAGCGATTTTTCATATAACACTATTCAGAGTATAATACGTCAGAACATAGATTGAAGCTCTACGCTAGCAAATATACATACCCAGTTGTGGATCGAAATAGGCCAATCAGAAACGCGAGCACACGACTGTTGAAGTTGACCAATCAGTGCCATTGGCATACGAATGTTGCTAATTAACATTGAAGGCACTTGCGCAACCGGCATCCATAGGGCACATACCTCTCCACCATGTCCCGTAAATACACAGGTGCATTTCCTATCAAGCACTTGAAGGTAAACAGGATAATTTTAAACCATATGCGTTGTTTGGCTAACAATTTGAATTTGGACTTTATATTCTGAAAATGTCCACAAGTTCAACTAAATATGAACTAAACATAAATCAGAATGCAATCTTTGAATTATTATTCAATGATTATTCTAGATAAGGATCATATGCAGATATTACTTGAAAATTGACAGCGAAACACTGGATGTACTGTTGGAGCACTGCGATCCACAAAATAACGGATGGATAAAGTAGGTTCAATTTGTGTTTTAAAGCTGTTTTATCTGTTTACTTCTTATGGCAGTGGCATGCTCCGACAGGAAATGAATCGGGAATTAAAGCGTCCCTTCCCTCCAATAGCTTACAGGTCCAGCCTGACCCGACTGGTACCACCTGGCAGGGCTCCCAGCTCAGGGCTACGAGCGATGGCCAACGGCTAACTCGGCGGGAGACCGGCAAGGAGGGTGGATGAGCTACGACTCCAGGGGTCAAACTTTTCGGGCGGAAGAACTCCTGGGAAGAGGGATGGTGTCCCTTTAAAGACACTGTAGAGGTGGTTCTGGGGGCCCATCTCTACTATTAGCCCCTTAGTTTTATCTATGACCATCACAAAAAACTAAAACTCAGATTTTGGGTTAGTTGGAGGGTCATGGTAGCTAACCTTCTGATAGAAGATGGTACCTGATGATGATGACTTCTTATGGGCGCTATTTTTACCCTGTTTTGGGTACCTTTTGAACTGAAATTTCATTTTTACATCAAAGTTGTGTGAGATGAAGAGGTAGATTGTACTTAAATCTATCTAATTGATTTGTAATTAGAGCAGTGGCCTAACGCAGTTTAGGGCACCTTGTTGCGATAGCTAATGGCCTCTAACCGAGAGGGATTCCCAAATTTCTATTTTTATTTTTAAAGAATTATCTCAAGTATACCTCATTGTTTAAACTTTTTGCAGTTCTTCAATTGAAGCTTCTATAGCTCAGCTCCCGCTAATTAACAAAAATTATCATTATTACGGCTTTCTGTTGTTTTTTTTCATACTCCAGAGTGTTGTATCGTACTTCCTTGTAGTCCATAGACAGGGGCTCCTTGCGTCAGTTTTTCCTTAGGTCCTCAGATGCCTCCATTACGCCGCTGAATTAGAGATTTTTTTCCTTTGGGATAAAATCAGCGCACTGCAGCAACTTATAATACCTCTCTTCTACAGCTATTACAAATTCATAAACTTACTTAAAGAAGCACAACCAACCTACTTGCCGCCTATCAAACATAAAAGACGAGGTACGTTCAATTTGGATGAAGAAGTTATGCCTAGTTTGGGTGCAAGCAAAAGTGACAAAAGCATTGAACCCTTGGGCAGAGACAAAAGAGGTATTGGTGACAGAAATAATTCTGACGGTAATCGAGCAGTCAAAGGTAAAGGTATTGAGGTCAAAGGTCAGAAGTCAAAAGCTATGCAAGGTCAGAGGTCGGAGGTTAAAAGACATTTGCCTGATGAAACGCAGTTTGATGTACAGCGAGAAACACCAAGGAGAAAATGGTATGAGAGCGAGGAATCGTGGATGAAACGGAAAAAGAGGCATTTAAAACCTGTAGCAAAGCGAAAGATGGTCGAAAGAAAGAAATGGGAACACTCAGCGCCTGTTCGAAGCATCAAGGATTCCCATGAGGATGGTAAGTTGACATGATAACATCCTGATGAACTTGTGAAAGAAGCCTAGCTTGTGTAGTCCCTCAAGGCTCTGTTCTTGCTTCTTTCCTGGATTTAGGTTCTATTGAATTTGTTGTTATAAGTTCATCTCTCAGTTTCTGTCAGTCCTGTTATAGGCTCAATAACTCTTAACTTGCCGCATAAGGTATCCAGATTAGCATAATTTCCTCTTTAAAGACCCACTGTTAACCAACAAAGAAGTCTCTATAATTTACATGGTCTTCTCTTATTCATCAACATTGCGCCTGCTCAATGTCACGATTTTCTGTGTCAGAAAAAGAAAGAATGCGCTGTTGTATGATTCCTGAAGTGCATGCTCAAATTAATTTGCATAGGCATTAAAGACTCATTGCTAACAATGGGCCTTTGCGAGCGTGGCGATGGTCCAAACAATGGCGGTAAACTTCTACGGATAAACCAAAAGTGATCTCAAACTGTCTCCAAATGCATTATGGGATGCTTGTGTAGCGCAATGGCTCATTGTTAGCAATAAGTCTTTGAGCTGTATCCAAGGTCATGATTGTATAGAATGTCTGATAGCAAAAACCAGTTTCACATATCCCCATAGCTTTCATGATGCAAATTGTTTTCAAACTTTGCAAGTAGCAAAATATTTTGTCTCTCCCAGTCGAATCTGATGTGACAGAGTTAGCAACGTTCATTCATTAGCATGTAAAATGGCCTAAGTATAGTCACTACAAGCATGCATTCTAATAGACGGCGCCCTAACTGACACCAGCAGCTTCGTTTGTTTGGTATGTTTACCTTCCTGGTGTAACTGCGCATATTTTATTTTCTGACACAGAAATTCGTGAAATTGAGCAGGCGCGCTGTTGATATATAAAAGAAGACCCTGTAAATTATAGAGGCTTCTTTGTAGGTTGACAGTGGGTCTTTAAACAAGTTATGCTCATTTATAAACTTCCAAGATTGGACAAGCATTTCCTATAATAGGTACGAGGATTAACTATAAACAAATTCTTACACAGTCGCATTTGCTTGAAATTTTGCATTGAATCTGGTTTATCGATGTTGTTACTCAGTGCTCATTGCTAGCATCATTTATTTTTAAATCAAATATTTGATATTTAGTGCTCTCTGATGAAACGGAGGAGCCAACTGATAATTTTGAATACTCCGACGATGAAATGGACAGCGGCAATGTCAGTAATCGATGAAATTCTTGGAACTAAAATTTTGAGCTTATCCATTGGTTGCTTGCTAGGCAACAAGCTTGTTTGGTTGCTAGGCAACAAGCTTGTTTGGTTGCCTCTCAAGTTAGCTGCGAAACGGTTGGCTGAAGGAAATCTTCATCTTCAAACAAAGGCTGATGACTATCCAGACAGAGGTCCGTTTTCATCAAAACGAGACATCAGTTTGATCATTAAACACTCAGCGCCTGTTTGAAGCAACAAAGATTCTCATGGGACGGCAAATTGACCCGGATGGACTTGTGAAAGAACGCGAAATGCCTAGTTTATGTAGTTCCTCCAGGCTCTGGTCTTGCTTCTTATTTTATCATTAAAGGGCCCTCAGATTAAAAGAGGCATCCATTTCATCACCATTTTATTTTTTACGACAATGATACACACATGAGAGTTCATCTTAACCTTTTTCTATCAAATACGTCTACAGGGCTGCTTTCCTGGCAAAACACCCAATAAACACATGATCAATTTGCTCACATCTCTAAGCCCACCCATCTTCCTATCCATACAATGTTTTTACATTTTCATATTACATCAAAATTATTTAGAATTATTAATAATGTAGAATTAGTTTGATGATATTCCATTATGTGATATTACGTAGCTAAGCCATTATGTGGCAAGCTTCATTATATGGATTACGTAGCTAAACAGTAGAATTTTAAATAGGTTTTCAACAGGAACTTAAACGATAATTTATAATCTCAGAATTAAATGTATTAAAAACACATGACGGTTATACAGCAAAGTTTTTAATAACAGCTCAATTGCTGAAACCTTCTGGGAAAACACAATTATGCCTATTAAAACATTACACCTTATATCCATTGATCTTTTTTATTTTATACGTCATATTAAGCTATTTAATATCTAATGGTTACCTATTGTCCCTCAAACGAATGTTTCAAAGTTCGACAAGGTGAACGATACAGCAGTACGATAGCAGTCACATGCAAAATCTCACAGGCGATTTTTTTCACAGGCGATAATCATTGTTTTTCTATTTTTAGCCTACCCAAATCCCCCCGGGGGGGAGGGGTACATTCGAGAAAATGTTGCCGAAAATTTCCTTAATTTTGATACCTCTTCCCAGAGTTATGATGCAATTCACAATATTCTGCCCCATTCTGCGGCACATCCCATCGACAAAATATTGAAATGCCTCCCCCCCCCCGGGTCAAGACCCCTGGCATACGACACTTTCAGATATTCCGGAGCGGGGAAGGGGGGACTATAGACCCTCACTTATTTGCTGATGTATGATATCCGGTACTTGCTATTTTGCAAACAGAGCAGCCAGGAAGCTTGAAACTGAACTAAAACTTTTGAGGCTATAGAAATAGCTTACGAAGCCCGCTACTAAGATCAGCTTCCGTCTTCTGTAGCCCCTCCCCTAATGTTTGCCAATTTGTCTAAAGCCCCCTGCCCCAAAATACGCCCCGACGTCCCTGACTATATCAGCGATCAAAAAACCCCTAGGTTCCTGGAAGTTAAATTTGAACCGGAACCTGACAACAAGTCAAAATCGCACACATTCAAAAAGGTATTAGGATAAATCGTCTATCTGTACTCGTAAACATCAAAGCTTCCTTTACAAAATTACCGAGGAGCAATTCACTCTTGCAAATAGCGTACGACATTTTACCCAAAACAAAATTATTTTTAGGGATTTTCAGATAAAGCAGTAGGATTTTCATAAAAGGTGTACGAGATTTTCTTGGAGTGATTTGCCCCTCGAAAATTACTACGTATGAACAATTATTATAAAAACATAACACAATTTTGAAATGCAATTTGAAAGTAATTACTGCAAAGATTAGGTTATCGAAGCTTATGTTTTGAAATTGTAAATATGTTGGCGTGTAACTCGAGATATACCTTTGAAGAAGGGGTTTCAACTGTCGTGTTCTTTTTGTCTCCCTCTTTGTTTCTGCGGAACCTCTAATTGTGACAATAGCGTGATGCACTCTCCTCCACAGCGGCTATTGGGAGGGAAATGGGGAGAGAGAAAAGGTGGAGCTGCGGAGAATAGAAGGGAAAGGGCGGAGGAGAAAAAATATCGCCTCTGCCGCTATTCTCTTTCTCCTTCTCCCTCGCAGCTCCTCCACTTTCCTTTTCTTCCACATTTCCCTTTAATTATACCTTTTTTTCCCTCATAATCTTCTTCCCCAATAGACTCTTTGGAGGAGAGTGAGCGTGAATACATAATTTCTAGGGGCTACATAAGTTCAAGGCTCCGAAAGTGTCCCAAAATATTGTCCTATAATGCTTAAAAACACAGCGCGACCAAATGACACTATAATAGTTATAAAAACGCGACATAGAAGCAAAAAAATCAGCATAGTTTCATATTATCGATTCAAAATATGCAAAACATCACACTCTAATGATAACATATGCATTATAAAAGATGGCAAAATACAAAAAAAACATCGTCCTTTAATAAGTCTCGTTAAAAAGTCCCATAGCATACACCAAAATCAGGCCTACGTCAGTCTTATGACCCTCTGTATGTGACGTAAGAGAAAGGTGAAACCAAAAGCGGGATATGGTAGTGCTGTTTTGGGTCCTCTATTCTGAAGACGATATCTGCTTTGGGGTGGAAATGATCTTTGCCTTCCTTCGTCCAATAGCTTGCCAGGTTGTATGAAATTTTATAGACTCCTACAAAGTAAAAATTGAAGCTACAATGGCTGCCGAAAGTCTTGCAACACTGACATCAGTTTTCAAGGTCAAATTAAGCCATTCCTCTCTCCCCCATGGAATGATTTTGGTTACTAAAATCACTGCCACAATTACTTGGAACATCAAACATTTTGTTTTCCCACACCTTTCCAGAGGTGGCGCCAGAAATCTTCTGACAGAGGGGTTGGAGCTTCCGACAGGGGGGCTAAAATGACTCAAAAAAGCAGTTTTCGTACGTTATTTTGTCAAATTTGCTCCGACAATAACCTAAAATTTTCTCTAATGGGGGGGGGGGGCTAGATGCTTTCGACGAAGGGGCTGTAGCCCCCCTGGCGCCACCACTGCACTTTTCCCCCAGAACAATGTTGACAGTTTAGAAAACATCTTGCTTGCTAGTCCAAGAAGGACTTTTGTAGGTATGTACCTCTCCAAATCAACGCTGTTGTGATATTTTCCCCCGTATCTCTTACAATGTTGATTCGTTCATTAGAAGTATTGATGCTCCAAGCAATAGATGTTTAACATAGCTCAGGCACCGCTGGGCGTTGAGAAAAGTTGGGGGTCTAAAAATGTTCGGGGGGGGAGGTAGGGGGGGTAAACCGAATAAAAGCTTTACTGGTGGTCCTCTACTTAATATTTTGCGTGATGCAGTCTCCTCCACAGCGGCTATTGGGAGGGAAATGGGGAGAGAGAAAAGGTGGAGCTGCGGAGAATAGAAGGGAGAGGGCGGAGGAGAAAAAAGAAATTAGCCTCTGCCGCTATTCTCTTTCTCCTTCTTCCTCGCAGCTGCTCCACTTTCCTTTTCTTCCACAGTTCCCTTTACTATACCCTTTTTTACCTCATAATCTTTTTCTCCATTAGTGGGGGCTAAAGGTCCCAGCCCCCCTGCTCAGCGGTGCCTATCACTATGGACCGAATATGATTTCAGTTGATTAACACACCTGGAGTAAAACGAGCTTGGGGAAGAAAGTACCCCATCCTGCCATCGAAGTCTGTGATTCCACCTTTTATGCTGATCCAAACGCCATTTCTGTATCTGTACAACATGGCAGCAATGTTCCTGCCGGGTAGGCCTTTTGACACGTCAAGCACATGGGTTGTCAAAGGGTTCCCGGGGTCTCCTGACTCAGCAAAAACAGGCAGAAGACTCAAGCAGATTAATAGGCCTAGCATCACAGGTGCCATCGTAAAATCTGTAAATGAAATATTGACCTTGCAGTTATAAAGTATGATAAAGCACTAGAAGTTTACAAAACTTTGCACAACTTGAATCCGGCCTTTATGAAAGACTTTCTCCCTTATGTTTGTGACTTTTTCCCAAAACCCAATAGCTATAATCTTCGAAAAAATGATACTCTATCTGTTCCTAAGGTTAAAACTACGAGCTATGGTATAAAATCTATAAGCTTTTTGGGTCCAAAGATTTGGAATTTTCTTCCAAATGAAATAAAATCATCAAAAAACACAAATCAATTCAAAGTTCTTATAAAATGTTGGTATTTCGAAAATCAATGCGCCTGTAACGCTTGTAGTCAATGACTTCCATAATGCAATCTCTTAAATTACTTCATGTTAGTGTTTATTAGTGCTCACACTATTGTCAAGCTAACAGTAAAAAGGTATTATTATTATTATTATTATTATTATTAATGCTTTCTGTGTTGACCCGTTTGGCAAAACTTCCATTGCAAAAACGAGTTTGCCATGGAGGGGAACTTTGTAAGCAAGTTTTGGAGTTATCGGCAAATAAATTTTTGAATCACTCAACCCACTATTTAAGGTAAAGGGACCCAAGCACACCCCAGTATGGATTCCATGGCAGCTGCGTTCCAGATAAATTTTTGTAAAATTACCAGTGCACTTTTGTGCTCCCAAAATATGGGTCTGATTTCGGATGTGAAAGCTTCTTCAAATTAAAAAGCTTCTTCAAATATGACAAATGAATTTCTACAGTTTTTCGTAACTCAGGTTGGAAAAAAGTGTGTCCTTTTCAATTAAATGATCTTGAATGATCTAAAAAATTTAGTGGCCCTGTGGCAAAGCAAAAAACATGGTTCCTTGCGAGTGAAGCAAGCAGAAAATCTTTTTGAGCAGGTTTCTTTAGATTAGCTTAAATACACTTCATAGAATATTTTTTTGCAGTCATTTCCTTGCAATTGTTTAATATTTTTGGCATACTTCCGTTGGTTTTGATTGATTCCATTCATAAAATAGAATCTCTTTATGAGGCTCCCTTTATGACGTTCTTGGACAATTTGCCCCCTGTCCCATTTTTGGCGTCCCTGCTTGAGATAATCTTTTAGGAAAATAGGTCTTTGGCCTTTCCAAACATTATTTCAAAAATCATTCCTTAAATTGTGGAACCTTTCGGAATTTGAATTACAGCTAGCGACGTGACCTCTCTCGCCACTGAGCCAATCACAGCCCCGGAAAGTGTAAACAAACTTAGGCCAAAGCCGAAAATTTGGCATTTTTACCACCCTCCATTAAAAAAATGACCTGTAAAATCTGCTACAATAAATTTCAAATTGTTTTAACTACAGCCCTACACAGATAAATTTCCCACAAATCTACCATGGAACATGACCTCGATTTTGCGTTAAGAAAATACAGCGTTGTAATCTGTAAACCTAGCCACGGGAAACCTTCACATCCAAGGGGTTTAAAATTAACAAAATACATGTCAATAGTAGCTGTTACCCCATAAAACCAAAATTTTGCATATTTCAGTTGCTTTAAATCTGAATATCACATTAAACTCAGCTTAGTTTAAAAAAACTCTGACGAACAACGCATGCAGTCTTTACTAGAGCTTAGATCAACGCAAAAATGAGAGAATTTCCCTTTTCATGACAAAAACTCTCAATAGCCTTCAAAGTAGCCGTTCTTTATACTGGTTCTTTCTACTGGCTTAAAATTTATTGGAATATTGCTATTAACTCTAATAAGGCGTAGGTGTAAAAGATTTACAAAGGTCAGCATTACTTTCACTGGAAATTTAATTCTGACGTAGGATAAAAGATGAGAGACAATCATGACATTGCGGGGGAAAAATTATTGTTTTCTAGCTGAATGACTTTTAAAGGGGGGCTTCGGTGAAAAAAAACCCTGGATCACCTTTTTTTATCACTGAGGCTCTGGTACCCAGGGCATTTCGACACACATAGCTTTGAACAAATTTCTAAATGCAAATATAAGAAATCCTGTCTTATCTATTGAAGACAGTAAATAAATGTTCTCAGTAAAATAATTTCAACAATAACGAGTCCTTTTTATGTTTAGATGTCGATTAATGTCTATATTTATATGAGCATAAAGCTTCTAAGTCTTCCAGTTTATACCTCGTTTCTTTTTCTTGTTTAGTTTACAATGGAAGACATTCAAAACTTGTTCATTTTTTTGCAATCCCATAGGCTGCTAAACTGGATTGGGGGGGGGGGGGAGGTTCATGGATAGAAATTAAGCTTTTTCTATGCCTGCCCTACTAAGTACTGTCAGATCAAGCTGCGCTTATAAGATCTTCGAATACTTTTGCAAATTATTGGAAGGGGGCATTGCTACCCTGACCCCAGTGTCAACGAACCTGTTATTTTGCAAAATTCGTCAGGGCAAATCTCGCATGGTTGTCACCACGTCAGCAAATTTTCGAATTAAAAACTAGCACAGTAAAACCACTCCAATGGAATTAGGCCAAAATTTTGCCGAAGAAATACACCAAAATTTGGCGTAAGTACCAATGTTTTATACCTAAGATCTTTTGCGAGCCATTCATGTTTTATACTGGAGCAAAATATGGATGTACTGGAGCAAAAATTTTGTCAGAGCTGAGGGAGTTGAGCCCTTCTGCTGTTTTGATCTATACTCCTTTTGGTTAGCATTAAAATAATGTGTCTTCCTAGAAATTGAGTCACAAAAATTGTCATGTCCTTATCATCTTAACCTTTCACTGAATGAAAACATTTAAACTGAGGGCCCAAAAAGAAAATTTATCAGATTTTGGAACTTCCAGTAAAGTATCGTTCTATTGCATTAGGGACAGTGAGCCCTGGGCCCAGGATTCTCCTTGCTTACATGAGGCCCCAAATTTTGGGAAATGCTTTTTCAGTACCCAAATACCGCAAAGTGACCTTTTTATTCATTCTGTACCCACTAATCTTGAGAAAGTCTCGGTGTTATGGCAACAGAAGAGGGCCCCTACCAAACAATACGAGTTTTCAATTAATAGCAAAATTAAGAAAAAAATTATAATAATTTTGGGAGGGCCTACCGGCCAGTCCGCCCCTGTGGAGTACTCAACATCGACCTTTGTTTCTTATAAAAAATGAGTGCATTGAAAGCACGGTTTATCGATTTAGCCGTATACTTCGAAGGTGAGACACTAATCAAAAAGGTACCAAGGATAAGAGAATTATCTAGTTCTTTTCAGGACAAGGGAAACTTTCGAAAGCATGATCAATGAAGAATTGTTTAAAGATCCTTTACTGACCAGCAACCTTTGCGCGCGATTGTTGTTGTTTTCATTGCCGCACCCCAAACTGGCATGACTGTTGGAGCCCCCCCCAATAATTGTCAAACTGTAGTATGTTTCCTTTATAACAGTGTACTGAATGAGAAGGAAAACAATGGGCAGCCCCCCCAATATGAATTTCGTTCCGACGGCACTGATTGACGAACTACAGGGATCGTCTTCGACGCAATCATTTAGAGTCAGACCAGCAAGTCGCGAGGATGTTGAGGTAAGCCCCATATTATGAGCATATCGATGATAACTTGTGTATATTCCTGTTTCCATTTTCTGCAAATCCCAGTTTCAATTTCTCGACTGTTTACAGCGTCAGAGCATGGCGTGTCAACTCTAATTCAGAGGTTCAATCAAGAAACCAAGAAAAGACTAAACAAGGGGGCTAATTTATCGCCCCCTACACCCCCTAGAAATCACCACTGATTATGAATAGCTTCACTTCCTTGTATAATAACATCACTTGGCCCCCCTCTAGACCGTGTCTATACCGGTACCCTTCTATCTTGAGAAATACAGTGGAGAACGGACCTAGGGAAACGAATAAATCAAAATATAAGGAGTCCTACCTGTTAGGCTGTTTGAATTGGTGGTCCTTCAAGCATCCGAAATCGAAACACAAATCACACTGCGGGGATTTTTACACTTGGTG